TCTAAGAGCTCTGTCCTAGCACTAGTAGCACAGAAACTGTGGGAGTTGAGGTCTATTCGTGTTCACAAACTTAATGTGTGTAAAAGTTTGGGACCCCTGTCCTACAGAAATATCTCCATTGGTTTGGGTAGCCAGATTCAGGACGGCAGGTGTAGGGTAAGTGAAACGGTATCAGGCTTTTCTGCCCTCCCACCATTAGGATTGATGATGGATCCCTGCGGTCCTGAATGCATGCCTGATGGCGGGCACCTGGAATAGGGTGTGGGCATATGTAGATGGAATTCATCTGGGCTAAGACTGGGCTTATAAGGGCAGCGTCTTGGGGACGCCAGTAGAACCATGAGAACAGCAGAAGCAGAATGAACGGGATTGCAGAGAAGCATAGAGAACGAGAGAAGCAGAGAGTAGAACCACGAGGAGCAGAGAAACAGAGACCACCAGAGAATGTTAGAGAGCCCAGCAAGAGTGAAGACTTGCTGGGGGCTAGGAGGCCTGCCAGCCTCCCAGCCCCCCAGGACCCCGTGTGCCTGGTAGATCCTAATAAAAGCCTGAAAAGCCACTGAGGTCTCCAGGACTCTCTTCTCCTTCACCCCGTCTGCTCAGATCATAGAGATCCTGCTCCATGCCCATCCTGCGTGCCACTACAGCAGGAAACAGACTTCCAAGTATTCCAGATAAGTTTAGAGGTTGAGAAAGAGTAATTGCTTCTCTATTGGAGATGTGCCGATGCCCAAAGAAACAACTGTGAGAAGTGAGATTTTTTGTCCTTAGTCTGCAGGTCTGTAGGGTCAGGAAGCACCACTGAGCAGGTTTTCTGATCCAGCAGACCAGGTACAGGAGGAGTCAGAGTCCTCAGTGGCTTTTGCAGGTCTTTTATTGGGATTTACTCGGTACACAGCAGGCAGGGGGTGCTGGGGGGCTCTCCGGCCTTCTCTCGGCTTCTCTTTCGGCTTCTGCTGGCATCCCTGTAACGCCGCCCTTAAAAGCCCAGTCTCAGCCCAGGTGAATCCCATCTACCTATGCCCACACCCTATTCCAGATGCCCGCCATCAGGCATGCATTCAGGATGGCAAGGATCCATCATCTCTTCTGATGGGTGGAGGGCAGAAAAGCCTGACATTTTTCCTTACCCTACAAGGTCTTAGAAAGAAAACCTGAATAGCCACTGCTTGTCTTAGGCATTGGGAAGGGAAGTGCTTAGGGCAGTCAAAGGGGTCTTGGATCTTCCTGTTCAAGAGTCTTAGTGGATATTATATTGTTAAACAGATGCAGACAAAAATATATTTCCCACTTTGAGGGAGATGTTTCTATAGAGACATCCAAATACTGAGGATATGCTTTCTTGCTGGTCAAGAGGAAATAGAATTGAATTTCAGCATCTATGCTACACTAAGCATTTATCCCACAGAGAAGCAGCTCTTAATTGAGATTCCTTGGCAGGTGCTACAATCAGAGGGTGTTGGCCAAAAGACTAAGTTTGCCTAAGGTTTTAGTATCACACTATCCATGGACTGTGGGCATCTTTGAATGACTAGTCCGCCAGTTCACCATCTTCTACCTGCTATTATGAAGTCATTGGCTAACCAAGAAAAATTTAGAGAAAAGCAGTTTTATAATACCAGGTTCAGAACTAGAGTCCTTATTTCACTTCCTAAAACTTCATTTTTTTTTCTATTGATAAACTATATCCATAGAAATCCTGTTTGATGTGGAAATGCCTCGTCAGAATGACAATCCAAATTTAAGTTTGTAATCCAGAGTTATTTCCTTTGTAGTCTAAAAACAGTCATTTCTCTTTTAGCTCTTAAAACTTCTGTGTATAGACAAGGGATGTTCCTATTTTACACAAGGAGAAAGAGGAGTTTGTATTTCATTTTCCATCCAGCCATGAGCATTTGATCATTAAGACAAAGTTCTTGGGAAGGAAAAAAAATCCTGGCTGATATGGCCAATCCATGCATTGTTGAGTCATGTATTTTCTTTTTATAGGATCAGTGAACTTCTCCATGGGTTGTTTCTATTTGGGGAATGAAATGATGGGGCTTTAGAATCTCCACTCTGTGGTCTCTGATTGTGTGAGTTCACGGACTAAATGCACTGGGAGGATTTATCTCGGAGGGGATCCCAATCAACAGTTCTGTGGCCACTTGAAAAATTAGGCTGGGTATTTGTGGCTCTCATGGCATGCAGGAAACAGCTAAAAGGGATAGAAAACAGTCTCTCTTATCACCTTATCACTTTGGTCCTACCTGGATCACAGGAACAGGTCTTCTTTTGTCCCAGAGTTTCCTGCGTCCCTCCCTCTCTCATAGTATTGGCGGGTGCTCATACTCATGGTAAGCTTCAGCCAGAGGGAAACTGCCCGCATTAGCAGCATAATTTGTATCATTAATACCACAGTCCCTTTATTATTTCAGCTGGAAGTCTAGGACTCAAGGAATGAGATGAAACAATGATTGAGTATGTTCTAAATTTTTGAAAGGACTAGTGGAAAGGTCTGTTGTGGTTTCAACATTGTTCTCTGCAAATTGGGGTGCTTTTGAGCAATGTTTTCCAGTGCCAAGTATTCTAACTTTCAACCTTCCCATTATTGTCTTTGCATAAGACAGTCTAGAAGGGAGTAGCAGAAATGACGAGGAAGGCAAGAAACAGTGGGAAGAAGTTGCCGCAGCAGATCCCTTATGCTCATTAGGACATCTGCTTCCATTTATGTTGAACCAATTATCCTCAATTGCATTGAGCTAGTGTCTCTTCCCCTTCTATTCCATCCATCTCCACAGCCTAGTAAAAATCTTCCCTGCTAGAAGTGTTTCAGGTTTAATACCAAAGTCACCATAGAGACCAGGGAATTAATAGGGGCTGAGAAATCTTGGTACCCCAATGCCACCAATAGCTATCACGAGGGCAGTAGTAAGGTCACTGGGCAGATGATGTTGGTTTTCCATAATATACTTGGGAACTGATACTTTCTTTTTGTCCCCATGAACATTTACACATTGGTCTTTTACACATCAGTCTTGATGAATACAATTTATAATATGCAAATAAGTCACTGTGCTGGTACAAGAGAATATATTTAACAAAAGATCACCTCCTGCACACACACACACACGTGCACACACACCATCTATTCTTCAGTTGTGTATCATTATCAGTGGTGTCCATGACCTGCATAGCTTCCACAGCACAGAGGTGCATTGTCTCTTTATCTTGTGGGCCCCAGTGGGTTTCTTGTCAGCCTAGTTCATGTACTTCTTTTCACTGCAACAAGAATAGCTAAGAACTCTGTGAACCTTGTGAGTCTTGTTCTTGAAACAAAACAAAATGACATCATGGCTTAGGAATTGTAGAAGTGTCACTTAATAACTCTTGGCCTGGATTTTCCTTTTTTTTTCCCCTTTAATTTAATGCCTGTATAGAAGAGCAGGCAAAGAGCAGTGGTAGGCTGTGATGTTTAGCACTTTTGCTCCTGCCTTCTTTCAGCATTGGACTGAATCAACTCCATGCTCTCTCTCCTCCCACTTCCCTAGCTTAGTGAAAAACCTGTCCATTGTCATTTTCTTTACAAAAAAAACTGTTTTTCAGTGTTTGTTTTTTGTTCAGTCCGCTTAGTTTGTAAATGCAAATGTAGATCACTCTCAATGCCTGTCTGGAGGTTTTTCCATGTTTTTGTGATTTGGGAGATGACAAAGGGCATGATTGACTTGTAATAGAGATGGTGAATCCATAAGTCCAGTGCATGTAAAGTGTTGGGGGAGTCCCACAGACTGACCAGCCAAGCCTCTCAGTGGGCCCTGCACAAATTCCTGCCTGTTGAACAACCAAGCATTGTCCTTACAGAAGTACAACTATACTAACTGGTATGCATAAAGCGATTTCCCAAGTGGCGAGAGCGGAAATCCACCATCCTGCAATTCCCAAGCAAGCCTTCTCCTAGCCCCAAGGTCCACATTGCTTCCCAGTGGGGAAAGTATTTTACTTCTCCCCTACTCCCTCCCCTTTCCCTCAGCTCACATCTTTATGTCCCTGGCCTGAGTGTTACCATCTGCTTACTGATAACAGTATACTATGACTTTTCATTCACAGCTTTGAGATGCTTATGAGGCTTTCCTGCTTCCCACCCAGCCCAAACCTTGGGACTTTTCACACACTGATCCTCTGATCAGTTTGACGCGGGAAAGCACACGGAAGCCATGTACCAGTTTGTATAGTAGTACCCTTTTGAACTGCCTACTCTTGAACAAAGTAGAGTGTGCTGGGGGTTCGCATTGGCTGCTTAACACACGAAGCCAATTAACCTGCATGCCAAAAAAAAAAAAAAAAACAATTAACCCTTAGAGTACTGCTTCAACATTTCCATTTAATGACCTTGAATTTGACTGGTTGGGCTTTGCTTCTTTCCCAGGACCAGAATGCTATGCACAAAGTCCAGACTCAGTCTAACCAGAACATCATCCAGGATCCTCTCCTCCATAGCTTTCTGGAGATGCTCCTGAGCCCTTTATTTTCAATCAACTGATGGTTTTGAAAAAGGTCCAAATCATAGCCCCTGTGTTCAATTGAAAATGGGCTCCACTTCCAATGCACAACAGTATGAGGGACTGTTTTAGCGCTGATGTGTGTCCTCTGAAAGAAAGAAGTCAGTTCTTTAAGGGTTAATATGAAATTAAGGAATTGGGTGGTCTCTCCTGCTTGTCCGTCCTTCAAGGTGGCTGCATGATCCTCTTTAGATTCTTAGCTCAACTGTTGAATGATGATAAAGTACCATATATGTATATATAATTACAAAAACAAATAAAAGAACAAAAGACTGAATGGTTGAATGGAAAGATCCCTTGGCAATGCTTGCTTGATTATCACAGAGGGTAGAAAGACCAAATGTTTTATTTTATGATCATTCATTTTGTCCTCTACCCCGAGCGCCACGTCCGCACAGCATTGTGGAAGACTGGGTGATGCTTTTCATTTACCTCTTGCTTTTTCTTCTTCCTGTCTAATAGCCCAATAGAATCCTGCCAGAATTTCTACAAAGATTTCACATTACAGATCGACATGGCTTTCAACGTGTTCTTCCTTCTCTACTTTGGCTTGCGGGTAAGTTTGGACCATGTGGCTCAGTGTCACAAGGAGGGGCGGAATGGGTACCCGGGATCATTCCCCATTGGTGTCTGCTCATACAGGCAGGATGAGGCCCAGGGTTGTCTAGGGAGACAATAGATCCACATTTTGATGTTCAATGTGAGGGAGCCCTTTCCCTTAGTATAGCATTTTCTGAAGTACATGCTAATTTTGTTCCAAAAAGTAGTGGGGATTGAATAACTGGCCCACTGTTTTCTCATTCCTCTCTTCAAACATGATAGCATTGTTTACTAAAATAGGAAAAAAGAAAAGATTTCTACTCTTAAAATACTGTTTATCAGTGTTCACTTAGCTGGTTCTTAAGAGAACAGTTGTTAGGGTGCAATTGAAGGGGGCAGATTGGCAGAACTTGGGGCTTGGAGTCTTTATGCTGGACCCTGTTTATTAAGGCAGCTGCACACAATGAGGGTTACAGAGGTGTGTGGGTGTGCTATATGCTTTATTTACAGTTACATTTATATTAGAGAGTCTAATACGGTGGGATCACTCAACCTCCCTGGTGATGCTGGTGGAAACCACAGAAAAATGCACTGCCTGATCCTTCTCCAAGGCTAACAGGGTAGGAACATAGTCACTTTCTAGAAAAGGGTCTGTATCCAAACCCTAAGACAAATAGCATGGTGAATAGTGTAGTTATGAGAAGAATACAGCATCACCCTCAGACCAGCATGAAATATCAACACGTACCATTGGGCAAAAGAGCATATCGTTTGAATGCCAGCACCCTGCTTCTCATTTTTCCCCTCTCTTCTTTTTTCTTTTCCCCAGTTTATTGCAGCCAATGATAAGCTGTGGTTCTGGCTGGAAGTGAACTCTGTAGTTGATTTCTTCACAGTCCCTCCAGTGTTTGTGTCTGTGTACTTAAACAGAAGTTGGCTTGGTAAGTCGATCTCTTCCTTTCTGCTCGCTAGTTCCTGGATGTGGCTGAAATATAGAACCTGGGCTGGCTCAGAGGGTTGTCCCCACAGGAAGAATAGTTTATATATTAATGTGAACAACCACTGGGGTTTTAGAAGTTGATGGTGTTGGTTCTTCTGGGAGCAGCAGCTCAGAAGGATTTGCACAGCTAGTGCTGCAGGTGGTGCAGTTTTATCATGGTTGAAGCCTGCTGGTCATCACTGTCATGGCCAGGATCTCTGTGCTCATAGTTCTATCACTTTTCATTCAGAAAAAGAGTCAGGACTGTTGGCCCAAAGGGACAGGGCCAACATTCTGAGTAGCTGGTTCAGGTTTCCCAGGTCTGCTGCCAAAATTAGTATCTATTTGCTTTTTAGTTTTAAGAAGTGTGAGTCCCGCATGGTTTATTCATAGTTATGAGACCCTTCGTGTGGCACAATGAAGTGATGCTTCTTGAAGGAGAACTTTGAAGGAGACTAGTTTGCTGCTTGTGTAAAGGAAGAGCTTTTGCTAATGCTGTGTTTATATTGTTCACATGTCACTTCCTGTGTCTGCTCAGTACATCACTTCCTGTCTCTGATGTGAAGGTCACTTCCTGTGTTAGGACTAGGACAATATGGTGGAAAAATTGTGTCAGGCACTAATTCCAGGTGATTAGGAAAGCAATACTGAATAAAATAGACAAATGTCTTGCCCTCTGATATTGCAGTGGGAAATAGGAAATACAAACAAATCTAATAATTAAATTATGGAGTATGTTAGGAAGCATAAGTGCTATTGAAACTGAGAACAGTTCAACAACCTTTCGGAGCATGAAACAACAACAATAACAAAATGACCTTTCTTCTCTTGTGGGAGAAAATACCTTTAATGAAGTTCTGTTGGTTCTTTGCTAACTAAGCCCTTTGGATGAAATACAAACCTGGTCTTCCTGTTAAGGAAGAGAATTCAGTATAATAATATTTCCAGAAGGTCCCCGTGTCTGATTTAGTACATGGGTTATTACATCGTGAAACAGTGATTGTGCTGATGAGCTGCCAGAGATAAGATGAATGTTCCCATGAGGGATGGCTTATAAAGTTGAATGAATAATCCCATTAAATGGGACTTTTCAGGAAGAGCTGCCCTTCTCTTGGAAAATAAGAGGGCACTGCCTTTACTGGCTAAGGTTTGGGTTGAGAAGCTTCAGGGAACTGAAGAAACTCCAACTTCTGCATGCACTTCCTGAGTCCCACTGAAGGCAGAAGGGAGTGCCGTCGCTGGCATGGTGGGGAGATAAGATAGAATTAACATGATGCCCCCTGCCCTTAACCTTTCTCAGGACATGACCCACACCATGGCTGAGTTCTTATTGCTTATATTTGCTTGCAGATTAGACAGCACACTATTTGTTTACTTTTTTGTGTGGGTCCTCCTGTGCATTTGATAGTATGTTAGTATAACAGCTAGTATTTATTCACTCTGATAAGCCCTTACATACTTGAACTCACTTAATCTTCAGAGCAAACCTATAAGGGAATAATTATTTTTCCCCTTTTGCAGATAAGGAAAGTGAGGCTCAGAGAAGTAAATGCTCCTGCTAAAGTGGGAGTAGAAAGGATCATTTACCTCAGATTTGGTCTGATGTTTTGTCTAATTCTTACACTGTTCTTTTGTCTCTGTCTGTATCCTTGAAAGAGTTTGGATTTTGAGGGCTGGGTGGGAATGACTGAGCCGATGTTGCTGCTCTGTGTTGGCATGCCTCCATCTTTTCTTACAAATAGAGGACTTTGCTTCAGGCAGGCAGGGAAGAGAAGGGATGGGATCTTATTTCAGACACACATCTTCATGTTTCCTCTTCTCTGTTCTACTCTTCCCTGCTCATCTGCAGTTTCTAAAATTGCCATTAGAACCAGAGAAACAGGTAGAGCTAATATGGTGTCTCCAGAGTTACGGGGTAGCTCTGCGGCTGGGGCATCCGACCTGCTTCCCCTGAGAGAGAGACTGGGAGTGTCCACAGGTCCTCAGTCAGTAGAGCCCAGTGGATGCCACCCAAGTTCTGGGCTGCACCACATCTATTCACGGGGTGGCTCAGCCTTGGTTGACTTCGAGGTGTGATTATTTTACCTGTTTTAACCTCGGTCTCTCACCTGTGCAGTGGAGATAACAGCACTGCCCTCAGCGGGGTTTAGTGGGGATTCAGCCAGGGAACGTGAGTAAAGTGCATGTACCGTGTATCTGGTACGAGCATAAACAACAGCACGATGATTAGCCCAGCCTCTCTTCCAACTTGCCTATCATATTTTCAAGCACTGGGGAAGAAAACAAACCAGAATGGAACCAAAAATAAGGCAGCGGGATGTGAGGACATCCACGTCGGCAGGCGGCAAGTCACTGCTTATTTTAATTCCTGTTCCCACACACCAGCTTATTCATTTTTGTTTCTCTCACAAAACCCTTATCCTACCTCACCAGAATAAATGTACCTTGAAATGAGAGATGTATCTTATTTTGAGACTTGAATAATATGCTCTGGGGAGAACTCTTTTGTCTGCTTGTCTCATTCTTTTGGGAACTATAGCCCCTAGATAGGTCCATGAGCTGTGCCTTGCTAGATGTTTTTGTTGAGGCTCATGCTGAGCGGTTAAAAGAAAAGAGTAGAGAAAAAATAATGATGTACTCATTGACCTGTCATCTAATGGGATTTTGCTCAGCACCTACTGTGTTCTCAGTGCTAGAATGAGAGTAGCACATGCTTGGCCACCAATTTCTTTGCATCACCAGGATTTCCACCACCATCCTTTTCTCTCTGGCTAATGCCATCATGGTGTCTTAAAGAACCACAATTACTGGAAACATAGCCCCAAATCTTGGAACCTGCTTTCACAGCCATGTGAGACCTGGCTTTAGACCTCAGACCCTTCAGTAACTTCTCCTAGAAAATAGAAAGCTCTGCTGAAAATAGAAAAATGAGTTAGTCTCCAGTCACAGGGCAATGAAAATGATTTAGGATATCTGCTTATAAATATAGACCTTATAAATATTGTCCCCTTTGTGACAAAAGGTAATAAAAGCAGGGTTGTAAAAGAAAAATACAGGTCCTTAAAAACAATAACAACAAAAGGACAAAACACAGTTCTGTTTGAGACCAAGGTTTCAATCTAGTTTCAGAACCAAAATAAACATACATGCAGCAGCAGCTGGTGACACTGCCCACCATGTAATTAAGTCCCAATTGTGAGGTTCGGGCTGCAAGGGCTGTGGGAGTTCAGAGGAGAAAGAGCTCATGGGGGAAGGTAGAAGAATTTGTGAAGACTTCTGCCAGAGGCCAGAGCTCAGCTGAGGCTGGTGATGATGAGTCTACAGGCAGATTGGGAATTGGCGAACATTTCCAAGGAGAGAGGATTTTCTGTGTGGAGGATGGTGGTGCTTGTGAGTGGTAATCCCTTCCTAGGTGAGAAAGCACCTTTTCTATGTGCCAGGCATCGGCCATACAACCCTGCAAGAAGGATGTATTATTGCCGTAGCAACAAATTGCCCCAAATACAGTGCCTTGAAATAATACAAATTTCTTATCACGCAGTTCTGTAGATCAGTTAGAAGTACAACATAGGTCTCCCTGGGCTAAAAGTGGCGTCGGGACTGCTCCTTTCTGGAAACTCTAGGGACAATTACATTTTCTTATCATTTCTAGCTCCCAGAGACTACGCACATTTCTTGGCTTGTTGCCCCTTCCACTCCCTCCAAAGCCAGAAAGAGCAGGTAGAGTCCTCACAGTGCATCTCTCCGATTTTCCTGACAACTAAATCAAGACAAAATAAGAAAAAAAAAAATAGAGGGTGGTTTGGCCAGAAAGCAGAGGCATCCAGCAGTGACTCCCAGCCTCCCCTTCCCCTTCGACCTCTGGCCTCTGCTGCATCAGCCTGCAGCTTCCCTGTGCTGCAGCAAGAGTGATGTCCTGCCCTGCCTAATGGTGGCGTCCCTCACCACACTACCACACAGCTGGAATTCCCCCTCTTGGGTGCAGGTTCCCATTCTCCCAGTGGAATGATTTCTCTCTGACCTTTGCTTCCTGTGCTTTCATGGTTCGTGCTATCAGAGCAGCATTGTTGGTCTGTTTTATGCCATCAGTTAGAGTGTGAGTTCCATGATGGCAGTGTGGCCAGGCCCTTGACCATCTGTTTATTTGCCATGTCCCAGATGCTAGAATGGTGCCCGGTGCATAGCTTGTGCCCACTGAATAGAGGAGTGAATCTTACAGTAATAATAATAAAGAACATGTCCCACTTGCTTATTAAGAGCAGGACCTGATCTCAGTATCTCATAGGTGTTATCTGAGTTCATATTCAACACAACAACTAAGTACTTTTGGTACCATTTTACAATTTTGGAAACTGAGGTTTGGGGCTTAGGTAATTTTCCCTGGTAGGTCATTCGGTGGCAGATCTAGTACTTAGCCAAAGAGAGTCTGATTCTGGAGACCATGCTTTAAAAATGACTAGGCCAGCAGTTCTCAAAGTGTGGTTCAAGACCAGCAGCATCAGCTTCACCTAAACATTTAACAGAAATCAAGATTCTGAGAAATCATTTCAGCCCCACTGAATCAGAAACTCAGATCCAGCAATCTGTGTTTTAACAAGCACTTGGATCCAGCAATCTGTGCTTTAACAAGCCTTCCTGGTGATCCAGGTGCTCACCCAATTTTGAGAATCATTGTCCTAAGCATTGCTGGGATAGTTCTCAAATGTGACTGCCCATTAGAATCCCTCAGAGAGCTTTTCAGACTTGCCATGTTCTGGTCAAACCTCCAAACAGTTAAATCAGACTCTGAGTGGGCGAAAGGGTGACCTGGGCTGCATTTTTTTAAAATAATTTTTTAAAGATTTTTTTTATACATACAAGAACTGGGGTACAGGCCAGATGTGCGGAAGGGTAAGAGGATTCACCAGAGACAGAGTAGGGAGCAGAGCAGTCAGATGTACTGAAATACACGCGGAGGGGAGC